ATAGGTAGTAGACCCAAAACTACACCCCGTAACAGCTAAGGACTCAATGCGGTAGGTTGCATATCGCCCACTTATGAAAACAGTGCAATCCCAGTCGCACAGTATGGCTTCCCTGCCGTGTGGTTTGAACCTCACACGCGCAAGCCGATCTTACACGCGTTGTGGATTTGCGATCAGCGCATTGGATAATCCCGGGTAAGCGAGACTTGACTAAGTTGAGATTTGTCGATTGCCTTTGAAATCCCACCGATGGCGCTTGTTTGGTAGAAGTGGGCGGGGGTAATGGATTTTTGAACTACCTTTTCAGGACTTAGCACATTAATTGGAGGGGGATTGGAGTTACGGCGTACTTGGGGTCCACTACCTAAATTACAAAATTTGACAGGGGTCCATTTTGCCGAGCCACTCCCTTGACAACAACTATTTCGCAGCATACATCATTCCAATATTGCTGCTATGATGGAAATTCTTTCGTTTGAAAAAATTTACGAGGTTTCCACTAACGTGAAGGCCTCACCAGGCTTCACATAAGAAAATATAAAAATTTAATAGATGAATGCAATGAGAACGAACTTGGATCTTCGGACACTGCTTCATATTTTCATCCTGGGGAATAGTGTTAGTCACCACAACAGCTTCAAATTTCGAGCTGTTCAAGCGCTGCAGTGCTGGTCCTGAGAAAATTCCATGAACGCAAAATGCATAGACCTTTTCTGCACCCGCTTCAACCAGTCTGAATAATGACGTTGATATCGTCAATTATTAGCAGATAAAAGAGAGATAGTATAGAAATTCAAAATGCTCACTTATCAGCTGCCATACATATTGTGCCACATGTATCTGCCATATCGTCGACAAGTATGGCAACCTAGAACTTTATGGCAGTCGTAAGGAGACAAGAAAAAGAAAAAACGGTACAACAGACTTTTCCCTGAACATTTCCCACAAGAGTCATCTTTTCCACCTCATTGGCGCGTTTCCTTTCCTTATGAATCAAGGCAAAATCAACGTTTAGACGATCGGCTATGGAAGTGACTCTAAGTAAGAGAAGTTTAGAAGATGTGAAGAAATGACCAGGTTCGTACCTCTTTGCGCCTCCAGCGTCAGGAGAAACAATCACAGATGTTTGCCAATTAGGGATCGACTCTTTGATATACTTTAGGATTGCTGGCTCCGCATAAAGGTTGTCCACAGGGATGTCAAAAAACCCCTTAACTTCCATAACATTCAAGTTGAGTGCTTTGAAGTAAACTACCTGTATTTGCGAGGCATGAAGATCCATTGTGATTATGTGATCTGCACCAGCCACCGAGAGCATATTTGCAACCTAAAAACATGTGGTAAACTCCT